CAGAGGGATAAGAAGAAGCAGGCTTCCCACTGTACAGGGAGCCCGATGTGGGACTCAATCCCAGGACTCCTGGATCATGACCTGAGCCAGAGGCAGATGCTTAACCGACTGAGCCACCCAGGTGCCCGAGTAATGTTTTTCTTAAAGGTTCTAGTGTTAGACATAAAAAGTAAGCTTTGATAGTAATCAGAGAGACTCCTGAGCAAAGAGTGGACTAGAATTGGAAGAGTCTCTTTAACTGACTCAAGTAGTAAGTAGGACAGAAGAGAAATCCATCTGTCCAATAAACTGTAAAGAGGCTGAATGAAGACTTGCTCCAACATAAAGACTGAGTATCTCAAGGAAGTTTTAATACGTTAAAGAATATTGATTTCAGCCCACCCAATGCTTGAAGACTTGACACTTCAATGACTTTTAAACTACAAGGTAGGGAGTTTGACTTCAAGTTAGAATACAGAATAAATGACAAAGGGAAGTTAAGGTTCAATAAAATAAGGTAATAGGGATAGGGATTTCCTTTTGCAAATTTTTCTCTAAAATGTGTTATTGAAATTCATTAACTCAACCAATAGTCATTGAATACCCAAATACTGTGCCAAGGGCTATGGAAGATTAAAATATGGAATTAATATTCAAAAGCTACAACTTCAGGCAATGTGGAAGAGCTATATTTGTGCTAAAAACAGAGCAGTTCTTATGTATGGCAGGGGAAGACCACTTCCTACTGGAATGATGATGGAAGAATGGAAGAGGCGACACTGAAATTGGACATTCATTGAAGGACTTTTAGAGCTAGAGGAGATGACAAGGCATTTTAGATACAAGGAATGAGTGAACAAAGGATTATAGTAAGCATTCATTAGCGCCCTCTATGTATTAGACATTATATTCTTGCACTAGTTTAAAAAAAGAGATGAGTTTGATACAGAGTGTAATGAAAAATAACATGTAAGAAATAGTGAACACATCAGATTTGACTTAGCAAATGATTTTTATACAGGGAAAATATGGAAGATGAACCCGAGTAGGAAATTGAAGACTGATGACAGAGATCCTTGAATGCTAGACTAAATCTTATTATTAAAGTAGCTAAATATAAAGAGCATGAAAGGATATATTTCAGTGAGTTAAATAGAAAATCATTCCTAGTTTTGATTTGAATCTCAAAGCAAATATTGGAGGGACCACCACCCGGTGGCAGAGTACTTACATTGCATCATCTGTTATTAAGATATGCATAAACCTTCTGAAGTTTCAAACTGTTAATCTTTATTCATAAAATGATAAAGAACATGACAAGGAAATAAGAGATGATTATCTATTGTGTACATATTCTCTGCCAGATTCCTTTCTATAAAGAGGAAAATCCCTGAGAGCATCTAAAATGATTTTTTCTTAAAAATTTCCATATATATTTTAAATAGAAAAATGGTGAAAATACTCCTATTTATTTGTTCAAATTACTCTGGCAATTAATTATAATTCCACCAACTGTGGGTGGTTGTCTGATGACAACATTAGGAAAGAGACTTAACGATTTTATTTTTGGGATATTTTAATCTTAAAACACTTGTTGATTGTATTCTTCAGATGTATCTTGATTTGGTGATTACATTCACATAGGCATAAAACTAGTGAAACCTAAATATGTGAAGTATCTAAGATCTGAATTAAGTCTGTGGTTGTACCTATGTCAATTTCTGGTTTTAATATTGTGCTATAGTTATATGAGATGTTACCATTGGAAGAAATTCAGGGAGAAATTCAGTGAAAACTTTGTATGATTTTTATGTAACTTACATATTTATTTTAAAATGAAAACTTAATTATAAGTATCATTTAGCTTAACTTCTACAAACTTTAGCTGCTGAAATGAAGTATAAAAAGATTTACAAATGACCAGGGCTCCTGGGTGGCTCAGTTAGTTGAGCATCTGCCTTTGGCTCAGGTCTTGGTCCTGGGGTCCTGGGATCCAGCCCTGTGTTGGGCTCCCCACTCAGCAGGAAGCCTGCTTCTCCCACTCCCTCTCCCTCTGCCCATCTTCCTCCCCCCACTCCTGCTCTCTCACTCTTTCTCTCAAACAAATAAATAAAAAAATAAAATCTTAAAAAAAGATTTATAAATTATCATTTGTAACTATATGGTCTATCAAAGAAAGAATGTATCTTGAAAATTAAAGGATGTTAGGTATAAGCATTATATTAATTTTCTTTCTTAATTAAAAATATACTCACCCAGATGGATGCAGTCTGTTCTCACCTATTATTTATAGATTTCTTCTGTCTTTCTCAAATAAGGTTATACTTTGAATGGTATATTCACATTGTAGAAGAATTAGAACAAATCGGACAATAAAATAAGTAAAGGAAAGGAATTATTATCACTCAACCCCACTCAAATAGTATAGTTTTTTCATCGATCCATTCATCCATTCAACATTTATGAGCAAGTCTCTGCTCTGGATGCTCTTTGATAATATAGATTAGTGAATGGTGCAGTCTCTGGTGCCTTTTCTAATTTGCACAAAGCTTCCCTGAAGGCCAGCATTGGCTCAAAAGGTAGATATACACAAGGAACTTACATTAGTAACTATTTCAAAATATTGTTGTAGTAAATGAGTTTTTCTCTATTTCTAGCATGTAGTAAGCACTATGGAAGTGTTGGCTGTTAATATTATTATTGTTACTATTATTATTATTAAATGACTAGAATTTGTCATAGTATTTGATCACAAGAGAAGGAGCAGAGCTTGATGATCTATGTTCTGTAGAGTCATTGAGCTTTTGTTTTTCATTCAACAAATAATTTTGAGTGCAGTTCACATGCCAGGCACTGTCTTTGTCAATGGAACTGGAAAAAAAAAAATAGATGCTCCCTCCCACCATTCCTATAACATAGCTTACATTTATTAGTATTTTGAAAGAACCTGCCAAGATTAATGTATCACATTTTTTTAATTTAAAGGCGTTAATTAAGTGCTTTGTGATGGATGACAAGTGAGAGGGTAGGAGATAGGAAGTGCAAAGTTTAAGACCATCTCTGTTCTCCAGGGTTTTTGGTATTAACAAAGGAGACACACTTTTATCAAGAATATCAAGACAAAATGGTGATGTGTCAAAACACATGGCATAGATAAAAAGTTTAGAGGGGAAAGTGAGTTGTTGAGGCCTGTGGTAACCAAGCAAATTTTTGTGGAACAGAGAGGACTTGAGCTGGGGCTTAGAGAATGTATACATCATATTCTGCTCTGAAATGACTTCTTGGATATGTGGCACAGACTTGTTCGCCACTCTCTAAATCTGACCTCCCCCCCTCAGGAACAGAGGAAAATTTATACATAACACTTCCAGTCCTAGCCTAGGAAACTCCCATTTGATGCTCCATGTGCCTTATTTTCTCCAAATTTTGGCTGAATGGTGACACTAAAGGCAACCATGGAAGCCACATCTCGAAGTCAGCAGAGACCCCATGAGCCTGTGGAGACCCCATGAACCTGCAACCTGGAATGACCACATGGAGCGGAATTTTTCCCTCCTTCCCCTCTCCCCAGCTACTGGTCTCTACTTCAATGAAAAATCAACTGTCTTCTCATCTGTTTCTAGGTCTGCCTGTTACAGCAGCCAGCTTTAACATACTATGTAACATGACCAGATTGACGTTAATTTTTTTTTTTTTTAGCACTTTGACAGTGTAAAAGTCAATATAATACAACATGTAAACTCTGAATCAGCTGAAAATATTTAATCTGCACTGAGGTTGTGGTGAGGTTGCTGGGAGGGAGAGGTGGGGTGGGATGGGAGTTGGGGGCAAGACTCCTATATAGTCATAAACAGAGTCCAATAAATTCGGAACTGAAGATGATGCACATGAATCTTTTGTTTTACAGATATAGATAGACATAAGAGTAAAGATGATACTAAATGACTTGTCTAGTATCTTAACTGGGGTATGTGGAAATTCCTGTTCCTCTCCACAAGGGCATGTGGGACTCTTGACACCCGTGCTGGTTCACTTCCCATTATTTTATTTTATTATTTTATTTAAATTTTACTTTGTTTTATTTACTTTATTTTTATTTTATTTATTTTTAAAGATTTCATTTATTTATTTGACAGAGATCACAAGTAGGTAGAGAGGCAGGCAGAGAGAGAGGGGGAAGCAGGCTCCCCGCTGAGCAGAGAGCCCAATGCGGGGCTCGATTCCAGGAGTCTGGGCTCATGACCTGAGCCAAAGACAGTGGCTTAACCGGCTGAGTCACCTAAGCGCCCTGCTTTCCATTATTTTAAATAACTGTTAAGTCTCATCTAAATTATATTTTAACACATGTACCAGTGGTAAAACTAGAAAAACAATTTTGTCATCCTCTTTTTAAAAATGACTGTACTTAAGACATAGTTGTCACCTCTACTTCATCTTCCCTGGCATCCAGAGTCCATTAAAATCCTCGATGGAATTCGTCAAATAAAGCTCACCAGTTTATAAATTCAAATGTTCACAAGTTTTCCTTTGGTGTGAATCTTGCTCTCTCTTTGACTTCATCGGCCTCAGGCAGTCACGTGGATGGTTTTGTTATACTTCACAAGTTATGACATGGCTGAACAAAGAGCAGCTCGTGGCTGATGGGCTGGAGTGTGGATTCACCTGCAGCTTAAATGACCATAACTGGGCAAATGGTCACAGCTGGATCAGAAGGGGCTAGATAAGGACAGTGATAGCAGAAGCTGAGACTCAAGACTTTAAATTAGGACTCCTTTATGTTCCCATTGCTTAGTATCCATACTGACTCTTGACCTTTGGAAGATGCTGAGCCTGTAAACAAGAGAAGAAGAGTTTGAACTTTGGGTAGAGAAATATGAGACAGAAAAGAGGCAGATCTCAGCACACATCTGGGTCTTTCAGTCTTTTACTTTACCTGAATGACACACTTTCACCTTTTGGTCTAGAAGTGCTTCTTTCTTTAGACAAAGCCCCAGTGTCTTTTGTCTTAAAATGACTCAGGCAGCCTCCTGGTGCTTGCCACTAGCTATGTTCTTAAACTGACTCTACTGAAAGAGGAGGTGGAGTAAACCTGCCCATACATACCCCAGCCTAGGCCCTTTGCCTGGTCTGTATTGTGAAGGGTGGAAATGGAGAAAATAAATAAATAAGTAAATAAAAGAAACGCCTGGGGCAATGATAACGCTCTAAACAACTCCTTTCTCCCAGATATGAACAAAAGAGAGACTCTAAAAATCTCTTGAATCCTTGTCAATATCTTTGGGAACGGTTGAAAAGTCTCCATAATGGCAAAAGAAACTACGATGGAAATTTGAGGGATTCTTTGCAGGGATAGATCCTAACTAAGGAGATTTAGTTTTTGAGTCCTGCTAGGAATACCTTGGAACGTAATATGACTTCAGGCTATGGAAGCACTTGTGTTTTTGGATGTCAGATGTGTGTTTAAGACAGAGATCCAGGTCTTGCTGACTTTCAGTGTGTCACCCAGAGAGTTGATGGACAGACAGATGCCCTGAATTCCTTATGTTTTTGTTCCGAGAACGAGTACTGCCAAAACCACATTCTGTTACAGGGCTGGATCTAAGAGGACGTGTGTCACTGAGGCATTAATTAGGAAGTGCCCCTTCCAGTGGCCAGACCCCTACTTGCTCTGATCATGCTGTTACATCCAGCCAAGGATCTAGCTCTGCCAAGTGGACCACAAAACGAGAGATGCTCTTTTTTTTTTTTTAACCCAAGTGGAAAAGATGCCTGTGGTAAGCTCGTCCATGTTAGAAATTCACTCTTGCATATCTTATGTCTCTCAATGATACCTCCAAGGATTTTATTTCTTTAGACCTTAAGAGATCTTTGAGGAGATAAAGAGTGAAGATTATCAGGCAGTCACTTGAAGAACAATAGACAAAGTCAAAGGCATAAGAACACACACCAGTGGCTGCACACATCAATGCCCTTGTTATGATATCAGATCACGGTAATTTTTAAATGTTGCAATTTGGCAAATTGGATCTTCAAATAGGTGAATAAGTTCTCCTTAAAAAAATAGTACTCTTACACAGAGACTGATTGCTCTTTTTTTTTTGTAGTTTCTCTTCTGAGTGTTTGTTGTGTGTGTCTAATGCTCTACCCTTTGTTTTCCCAGCCCCACAGAAAGTGTGCTACTCTCTGCTGGTTTCTTACGATAGCTTTGCTCACTGAGGCAGAGCAGCCCGTGAAACTGTTCAATATATCTGATTGGCAGCTATCCTCAAGTGAAGCTGAAAGACACGGAGAGCATCCCCACCCCCCCTCCCTGTTTCTGAGGTATGGTTGCGGTTAATGAAAATTTATTACATTTCACCTGTTTGAATTTTATGTTGTCAAAGACGGTCCCATTGTTTTCACATTCAGAGTGATGTTTTTCTTCCTGTAGTAGCAGAAATAAATAACCAAATTATGAATGACTTATTTGCTAGATTATTTTAAGAATCACTTTGGCTTTTAAATGAAGGTATGCACGCGTGCTCTATTTTTAAGGCAAAGGAAAGATGGAACATTAATTTCAGCACAAATTATAAAAAATATAATGCTGGGGCTGTGATAACTCACTTGCTATAGTTAAGCTGATCTTCATAGTTCACTTAAAGAGAATAAACTATAATATTTAGAACTTAACCAAGGATGGTCTAAAATTATTCCCCTTCTGTAATATTAGCAAATGTTAAATCCTGTACGTATCTAATCAATAAAGAATTGTTAATGCCAAGGACTATTTTTTTCCTTGCTTATATTTCAATCTCTTTCTTCCAATAGATTCTTCCTATTGCCTTTAAAATTCTCATATTTCCCACTAAAAAGAAGTGACTGAACACTTAATTTCCTTTAGCAGCAAATCTACCTCTTTCTCTTCAAATGTAAACTTCACAAAGTGTTGTCTGCATTGTTTCCTTTTTAATGAATCTATTAATCCAACAAGTATTTATTTAACAGCTACATTAAACCACATACTGTTCTAAAATTAATTTGAAGGGTGCCTGGCTGGCTCATTTGGTGGAGTGTATGACTCTTGATCTTGGGGTTGTAAGTTTGAGACCTACCTTGGGTGTATTATTACTTAAAAATGAAATCGTTAAAAAATTAATTTGAGATTCCTGATTATCAAGACAGTATAAAGAATTCAAAATGATTTTTGGGGAGATGAAACTTAATTCAAGTTTTTCTGTCCAAACATATATGCCAATAACATACAATGGCTGTCAATAAACCCTTTCTCCTGACTCTTGTTTTATTTAACACATTCTTATTTTTTTCTTTTTGCTTTTACTGTTTCAGTCAAACCTTATTTAATGTGACAGTCAACTCATCTATGTCTGTGAACATTATACTTTAGTGTTTTCGTCTATGTTATGTAATCTGTTTGGCCCCTTGAACTGTATGATGTATACAGAGATATCTTGCTCTTTGGGGGAAGGAGACTTGCGTAGGGTGTGAAAAACATGACTCCCTCATTTTTTTTTTGACTCCCTCATTTCTGTAGGGAGAGAAATTCTCTATGAAGTGTATGGATGATATTGCTAAGGAGTTACCATGAGCCTTGTGAGTTAAAAATATGGTTTCTCACTCAAACTTCAATGATTCCTTTGCCTCCCCTGAAGTACTATTTGCACAACACAGTAAAAATGTGGATGGGAAATAATTCCATACTGCAGTTCAGCATATGCCAAAATAGAGATTTTCTGTCTTTATATACTTGAGAAGGACTGCTTTTGTCGGTGTCTAGGGCGTTTCAGTGAATATATGAGACAAGTTTAGCTTGTCATAGTTACTCCTGGCAAATGTTAGGGCTCCAGAACTCCCATTTTCAGGATCCTGGTGCTTTAATGCAACTCTAGGGCTGCTTAGAACTCAGGTGCACGATCCTGGGGTCTTTTCCTTCCAGATTTTGCCCTGATCCATGGCTCAGGACAATAATGGGTAACTGATACTTGACAACATTTCAGGAACCATAACTGCTTTAAGCAAGATGGGTTTAGATGACCTTAGTGATGGGATATTAAAGCTCTGACAAGCCATAGAGAGTTCTTAAAATTTGATGGGGGATATTTAGTGCCCTTGAAATTATAAGTGATAAATCAGCTGTGCATATGCTGGCCTTGCTAGAACATTAGATATCTCAAAACACAAAACAAAGTAACAAACCCAGCCCTCAAACTTAAGGTTGCTGATAATATGTTAACTATATTAATTCTCTAGAGCCGTATATCCCTGCATTTTCTGAGAGACATGTTATGATAGGCTCTGGTGAATGCCTATCATGGAGTGCTCAGCTCTATGCAAAGTACTTATTCGGTAAAACAATAACAGAGCAACCCCCACCTCCCCAAACGCAAGAAGCATTTTAGGAGTATTTTTTCTATTTATTTGAAGCACAGCAAAAAAAAAAAAAAAAAAGGAAGATAAAAAATTGTACCCTTTAAAAATTCAGTGGCATGAGTTACAATGTGATAACTTGAGGGACATTATACAGTTAAAAAAAAAAAGGGAAACAGAAAGGAAAACAAAAATCCTGTGTTTGAAACAATGCATGACACAATTATACCTGCTCAAACAGACCATTTACAAATACTAGGTCAATAAACTGCCAACATTCATAGAAAGGTAGCTTTCTTACTGAAATGCAACAATTTAAAAGATTGGTATCTAAACAAGAAAAAACAAAGCATTTGAAATAGAGATAGGTCATGTCACATGGAGGCCTCCTGACTAGAGCAAAGTGTGCAGACTTCTGAACAGCTTTACTAGAAAATCACTAAGGGTCTCCTGATTGTTCAACCTTATCAAGGTTTTTGATCATCTGTGGTCAGGAGGTTATATAGAACAAAATAACTTTTTACTCACTGCTGTGGTTGGGTGGGTGTGGCTGGATGGGATGCCTTGTGAGCAGGGCCAATGTCTCAACGGAACCCAAACACAGAAGATCACCTGAAATAAAGTAGCTAAAACTTTTAAAGCTTTTTAGCACAATGTCTGGATCAAGGTAAACAATCAATTAATGTATAAATTCTAGATTTTAAAAAGTATTTCTCATGACATACAGCATATGAGCTTGGGCTTAAAGTTTAGCAATATTTTAATACTAACTCTGCTATATTTGCATACACTAGGCCCTCAGTAAATGATTCCTACATGAATCTACACTGTTTAGGACACCATTAGCCTTTGTAATAAACATGCTCCAAGCTTTCAAAAATTTTCCCAATAAAAGCTTATTTATCAATCAATCCAAAGTTGGTGTTCTTTTTTTTTTTTCTTTTTTTAAAAAAGATTTTATTTATTTATTTGAAAGAGAGAGACAGAGATAGCAATAGAGAGCATGAATGGGGAGGAGAGGGAGAAGCAGGCTCCCCACTGAGCAGAGAGGCTGATGCGGGGATCAATCCCAGGACTCTGGGATAATGACCTGAGCTGAAGGCAGATGCTTAACGACTGAGCCACCCAGGCACTCTAGTGCAAATGTTCCTTGGTGTATAAGATTTTTCCCATGTGGTGATTCAGGGACCGTGTCTCCTACTACTTTGTGTCTGTACTATTCCCTGGGGCCTTAGAGTTTTCATTCAGCAGGCAGATGGCTAAAATGAGGAGAGAGAACTTACATTCACTCTTAATCATTTGGAAGCAGCTCGTACCATTTCTACTATGACATTGTCAGGAACTAGTCACATGGCTCCTTAATGCACAAAGAACCTGAAAAAAATTGTCCTAGGCTGGACAGCTGATTCTTAGGACAGTCTACACTCTAGAAAGGGGTGCAGAAACTTTTGGCAAACGACTCAGTTATTTCTGCTATAGGATTATCATAGAAAGTTTCTGGAATATAAAGTGATAAATGTGAAGAAGTAGAAACGTAATTTGTATTGACTCACATAACTGAGTCTCATTTAACACTTAACACAATTGTATCAGTCCTCTGACTTGGATCGTTAGACGTCTCATGGACTGGATGTCAGTGAGCACCATTTCATGAGGTACCACCCATTCTAGTCCGATCAGTCACTAACATATTTTAAGGATCTACGTTGTTCTTTGATGTTTTTCTGAATCTTTTTTTTATGTTATGAAGCCTGCTGGTTAAGCTCATGGCAACTAAACATATA